GCAATTACTGCTAAAGTTTCCGCGAAAAATAATATTTTTATTGAGTTCGGTTTTATAGTGTATTTAGGTCGCAAATTTTGTTGGTTCCGCTCCGGAAGAATTTTCTTTCGGTATCATGTTCTGTTCAGTATTTGCAAACGTAGACAGCTTTATTTGTTTCTGTCTGAACTGTTTTTTAGGATGTTGTTGGTAACTGATCTTTAATCACTGTTTCTATTCTCTTATAATTTGTGTTCAATTTTTTGCTTAGCTTGTGTTTTTTAGTTATGATAGATTTTACTTTTTCTGCCTGTCTTTATTATTACACTGTGAAATTTTTGTAATTTTTCATTTCATTCAGGACATGTCTTATTGATCTGTTGTCATCTGTTTTTACACATACAGCCTAGTTTTTCTCCTTTTTGTTTTTATAAAAGTGTGTCAAAGTCGCAGTCTTTTTTGGTTCAGAAATAACTAGAAAACATTTAATACCTTAATATGTTTTTTACTCTTTCATATTTGTGTACTTTTAATTTAACTTTTTCTTATTTGTATACTTTTAATTTTATTTGTATAACTTTAATTTTTTAAGTTAATTTAATGTATACTTCGAGTCCGTGATTTATGTTGATCCTCTTTGAAAGTGATGAAAATGAGGAATTACTTTTACTTTTATTTGAGCGAATTCTAGTCTTTCTGCACTGATGGCGTTTTGCTTAACAGCGCTTTGCCTCATGTTATTTAACATTTTCATCAGTCGTTTCATTTAGTGCCTTCACTGGAATAGTTAGTAGCATCATTTCTTCACTTTCTTCTCAGCTCAATTAAGTAGTTCGAAAATTGGGTCGCCTCTTGGATTTTTATACGGTTTTGTTCTGGATCTTTTAAGACGTTGAATTCTTTATTTTTTTCCACTCTAGTGTTTAGCTTTCGCTGTGTCAGTTGGTCTTTAAAATTCCTGGTTGTTTAGGTACAATCTGGTTTGTAAAATTTTTTCAGATCGGCAGTTAGGGCTATTGAAAATGGACATTCTTTTTAGACTTTTTAGACTTATGTTTTTGCTAGGTCCTTTTGGCTTTGGAAAATCGTGCTTTTTGAGATTTTGGGAAGAGATTGTATTTTTAAAATAATTCGAAATTTCTAATTTATTACCCTGCAAAACCGACAGATTCTTCGTAGATAATGAACCTATCCATTTCTAAGTAGAAGTTTATTGCGTACATTTTGCATTAGTTTTAGAGTAGGTTAATTTGAGTGAAGTTCACTTCATAGAGTGTTATTCATTTGGGAGGGATGAAAATATATATGCTGTCGCATCCAAAAAATCTATGCTACTGCAGACCATTTATTCTGAAACTTGACGTTAATAATGAAGGAATAGTTGCTATACGGAATACTTATTTTCCTAATCGTATCTTCTTTTTTTATTGGCTTGTTAATTATTACTACATGTTTTTATTTTGTTGGTTTTGGAAGCGACTAACTTTGTTCTTTTTTGGATTCCTAACTTTTAGATTCTTTTAATATTGTTTATTTTTCATTGTTTACTGGTGGAACTTAGGAGAAGTTGGGTTTTAAATTAAGCATGGATGTTTGTCTTTTCAAACTCTTTTTTGGTGGACTGGTTGAGTCTGCGTTGTTCCTGCACTTGCCAAAATGTTCTCTAATACTTGGCTTTTTCTTACACGGTTTTTTATATTATTTTCCAGAAGAAATTTTCACCAAAAGCTGTCTTTGAAGGTATTTGGCAGTGTATTTGCTTAATTTAAGGTCAATCTGCTGTTTAGAATAATCAAAATTTTGAAGTTATCAGACAGTTTAATATTTGAGTTACATCTCAGTATCGTTTCTTCCCTTTCATAATGCTATTTGCTTTTTGTTTCTGAGGCTTTTTTTTTTTAAAGATGTTCGAGTAGTGGCGATAATGGACGGTTTACGCTCAGCAAATGAAATACGCCAATCAGAAGCTGCCTCTGAGCTAGCAGAAATGCTACTTTTAGGTAACGAGGAAAGTTTACCTAACCTTCCTCTCAAAGAAATTGTTCATGCGCTGATCGCTTTGCTACAAAAGGAACACAATTTTGAATTGGTAATTTTTGTTACCTTTCTAGAAGTAACTGTAATGCGGAAAAAAATGTGGCTTTTTTGATGGTCGTCGTGAATAACATTGTGTAGAAGGAGTGTAATGTAATTTCCACTTCATTGTGTGTTACTTATCCGGTGAGTCAGGAATGGGGGTTACTTTATAAGTTTAACTTCAAGCGTTGTGTCGAATTTTCAGATGCTTACTGCTGCTCGGTGCATTTCAAATATGCTGGAAGCTCTACCTCGGGCATTGCCTATAGTGATTGATGCTGTTCCGTATCTGTTAGAGAAAGTATCTTTTATTTATTTATTTTTTTTTTTTTTGCGTAAAACTGCTCAATGATGGCTTTTGAGCTACATATATATTCTGCTTTTCGCTTCAGTTGAAAAGGATCGAATGCATTGATGTTGCTGAACAGTCTTTGATGGCCTTAGAAGTTATGTCGAAACGAAATGGCAAGAATATTATGCTCGCGGTAAGCTTTCTGTTAAAACTTTATTTTATCAGTCGTGGTTTTTTACGAACGTAAAGGCTTCTTCGGCATAATTGCTGTAATATGAATCACTCAAATAATTTTGATGAAGCTGCAGAGATGGTCTTTATTATATTTTTTTTTTTTTTGAATAGGAAGATCATTCATTTGTTTTTTAGGGCGGTATTGCGGCAACGATATCTCATGTCGATTTTTTTTCTGTTCCTTCTCAGCGATTGGCCTTTCAAGTTGCAGCCAATTGTGCCTCATTTGTTTCAGCAAATGAGTTTGCGCATGTGCGGGACTCACTCCCAGATCTTACACAAAGACTGTTTATTGAGGTCTTGTTATTGAGATGTGATCATCATTGGTTTTCGTATCCATTATTTTCATATTTTTTTTATTATAGGATAAGAGATGTCTTGAATCTATCTGTTCTCTTTTTTGTCGATTGGTGGACAATTTACGTAACAGTGCTGACAAGCTCCGAGAGGTGGCTGGGCAGAATTATGCACTCCTAAAGAATGTTCAGCATTTGCTTCTGATGCAACCGTGCCCTGTTGGCCCATCAACTTTTCAGTCTCTTATAAGAATGTTGCGCTTTATGGCACAGAAGTGCAGTGATATCGCAGTGGCTCTAATAAATATGGGTTTGTTTGAACAGATTCAAATTCAAAGGCTTCTTTCACTTTCTGATTCTTGTTATTTTTTCAAAAATAGGTAAGAGGAAATACATTTTACTAGAGGAAGTCACATATCTCATAAAATTTTTTATATTATTAGGGTTATTTCTGTTCCCATTGTTACAGAATTTTATCTATCACTTAATTAATAATTGTTGCTCCATTTGCATCACGGATGTAGAGGAGTTCTTTATGCTTAGAAGTGATTGAAAGGTATTTTTTTTTCAGATTTTGCTAGAACTATTCGGTTTCTGATTGTCGGATCTGAAGGCGATGAAAGTTCATTAGAAGTAGTAAACAGGCCTTCACAACAACTTCAAGAATTAGTTTTTCTAGCAGGGTAAGCATCATTTCTTCATGTTTTATGTGTTGACTTATAAACATTTATATGGATTTTTAGTATATATTATTGGTTTAACCGTTTCAGTGAGCTATTACCATTACTTCCATCAGACGGGTTGTTTGAGATCGATAGCGTTATGATTCGTTCGCACTTGTCCCTCTACGAATCATCACAAGCACAGTGGTTCTGGAAAGATGATTTGCACCAGTGGCAACCGTTTAGTAATTTTGATGCAAGAATCATTGAGGTGTCTATTTGTGGGCATTAAGGGTGTAATTCTACAATTACATTCTTTGATTGATTATTTTGTTCCTTACTTTTAATATTTTAAGGCTGCACAGATGGCAAATGAAACAGAAATTAGTTTGCAAATAAATGGCAACGTGTATAGGATTGATTTCCAGCGCATGGTGCAACAAAACCATGTGACGGGCAATGAAAGAGCTATTCAAAGAAAAAATGCTCCGTCGGTACCAAGTAAGGTTCATCTGCATTTCCGCCAACCTTTTATAAAGTGACATATTGGTGTTCAGAATCAAGATCGAGTGGCTCGGAAGACGACTGTCGATTAGAATTGCTTAAGACAAAGCCAGTTGCCATTGAGGACGTCATAAAATTGTTGTTTCCTATATTAGTAGAGATTGATGGCAGTTCTGTAAGTAGTAATTGCTGTTTCTTTAAGAGGAGATAAGATACTGGCTTAGCTATCTCACATCCGCTTCAATTTCTATGTCTGGCTGTTTTTTTTTTTGTTTTGTTTAAAAATATTTCTCACTTTTTAGAGTGGTCCCGCACTACGTTACGAGAGTTTACGTGTAATGTTGCGGATGGTATATCCTTCACAGTCAGAGTTGTTGAAAAGTATTCTTAACGATCTGCCTGTGGCAGGACACATTGCTAGCGCATTAGCAAGTCCTAGGAGTAAAGATCTTTGTATTGTAGCTTCTGCTCTACAGCTTGTCCATCTTATTCTTGACAAACTTCCAGAACTATATGCTCCTCTTTTCAGACGCGAAGGTAAGCAGTATGACTTTGTTGTACTTTGTTTTTTCTTTTATGTTTGGTTATTCCTTTTCAGGTGTGGCTCACGAGGTGGAAAAACTAGCCAGAATAAAGCTTGAATCACCTGTTACATTGCCTCCGGTCCGTTCATCACCTTCCGTTTTAACAGAGTCGAAGGACTCTCCTTCCAGTACGAAAAGTCGTGGCAGTTTGAAGTCGCGCAGCAGTAACGGTCATAACGACGAGCTTGTAAATGGTAGGCTAGGAGTTTTTAAAGGGAGGACAACTTGTATAAGGTATAATGGATTTTAGGGAAACAAGCAACAGTTTGTGGGAGAAATTACGGCCAGCTTCCAACTACATCGGAAGTTGCTACAACCAGCAACGAAGGAGCTAGAGTGATTGTCTCTTCTAGTGGTGGGAAGCATCGTAGAAAGAGGTCTCCTGAGAGGTGGGGGAGATCTTTACCCTATAGAAATGAACCATTTTCTTTTGATCGTGAAGTTATGAGTACCAGCTCAGTAAAATTTCAAAACTGCTTTCCTGTCTTTTAATGCTATTCTTGTTTTTTACTTATATGCTACTGTTACTGGCTTCTTGTACAATCGCTTGGATTTTTCAGTCCAATTTCAAAGAAGGAGTCTCGCCGCAAAGGCTCTTCTTCAAATTTTCTTCATTCGATTCGCATCCCCAGTTTCCGTATGCCTGGTGCACTGTCTTCTCGTTCACCCAGTGATGGTGGTGTACCGAGTACATCAATTTCCTCCTTCTTTTCCTCGTTTGGTTCTTCAAATAATACTTCATCTTTTTTGCCTTCTAGTAAGAAATTATTTTTTCCTTAGTTGCATTTGTGTTTTATCGGAACCTAGTTTCTTTTCTGATTTCTGCACCTTTTTCTCTCTTCCTTTTTTTATTTTTATTTTTTTTTTTTGTCTCTGTGATGCGTTTGATTGCGATGAGAAATTTTTAGTTGAAGGTTCTGCTGCTTCTTCAAGTGCTCCATCAAGTTCTCACTCGACAGTATCAACTCGACCTCGCTTGCCTTTCCCTTATGTAGTGGGATCTTCTCAGTTAGCCGCCTCATACTCTTCTATTTTAATGCATTCCTCTACAACGGGTCATTCGGGTATCCCAATTCCCATTAGCACGTCGTCAACGTCATCACACGTTTCAGCCTTAAATCATCAACAGAAAGAAAAAGTCAGGCAATGGATACGAAAGGAAGGTATGTGACTTAAATAATTTTTGGTACCGGACTTTATAAAATTCCCGTTTGTGGCATTTAGTGTTTTGCCTGTTTCTAATAGTTAATCCATAAATTCTTGACTAGATGGATTCTATTTTAAAACTTTTCTTGCATTGAGTTAATCAAGCTGTCGTTCTGAGTTTTCGGACTCATAACTTTTTTAAATTGCTCATTTTAGCAGAACATTTGATGGTTACTTATTTATCATGCCCTAGTATCGGTAATGACTCGTTAGCGACATCTACAATTGTTCGTATGAGTGCGGTTGCATCCGCATTAACTGGAGATAAGGATGTTGGATGTGCACCTCTCAATGAAATCAAGGTTTTTTGCTTTTTTTTCCTTCTATTTATTTAGTAAAAACGTGTAGGTCTTTGGGCGTTCTTGATTGTTAACCGAAACTCGTTTCCATTTTTTTTTTTCAGTCAATAATTTTGGAAAATGATGTTAGTGCCTTTGAACTTAGTCACAGCGGTGTTCTTTCTGCATTGACTTGCTATTTGACAAGTGCTCCTGGTGGCATACAGCCTACTAGGAAGTTACGCCTTAAGAGATTTTGTGCAGTTTTTATGTCTTTAAATGTAAGTTTTAACAATTTCTTGTTCATCTTAAAGCTATTTTAGTTGACAAAATTACTTACAATATGACAATAATTACTTTTTTTTAGACTCTTTGATTTGAAATTTCTGTGTGACTTGGGTTGTTCCTCAGTACGTTATTCCATTTACTTTGGTTTGATTTTCAGGCAGACAATTTACGACCAGCTGATGAAGCTAAATGCTGGGTTGCATTTGAAGCTTTAGTTTCCAAGTTACTGGCGTCCGTGGCACAGTTGGAACAATTTCAAGTACGTTTAGGTCACTTCTGATTCGGGAATTCCTTTTTTGCGAATTTTACTGCCTCTTGGCCTTGTTATTTTTTGATATTGGTATTTTGGTATATTCCAGGTAAAGGTCACGGATATGGCAGCCGTAGTGTCTGGTTCTTCTGCGAATGCGCTTAGAGGAGCTCAGGCGTTACGTTTTTTCCAGACCCATCAAATCAGAGTGGGCTTTTTATTATCTTCATGTTTCACAGTTTTCATATATCAGTTTAAGTAGTCTAGTGCACTGTTGCTTTTAAAATTCCTAATTACATGAGTATTCTTCAGTGTAATTTGAGAAGACATCCGTCTTGTAGAGAGTTGAAGGAATGGAGACGCGGGCACGGATCGATTAAAGTATGTTTTCTAAAACTTTTACTGATCAGGTTGGGGAAATAGCTTTAAATTCATTATATTTTTTGCTATTGTAATCTAGGTCGATCCCTTCACTTCAATTTCGGCTATTGAAAAGTATTTGCTTGATCGCGGTGTTGGGTACGTCCGATCTGATGAGTCATCTGGTGATGATAACGATAGTGAAGATGATGAGATGCCCTCAGTAAGCTGTTAATCTTCACCAAAGTTGTTGAAATGCTCATCACTTTTGGCGTGATAATTTTATTTGTTTTATAGGAGGGTTCTGTCAACGCACAGCAGAGTGGTCAGCAGCGACGAATCGATATAATAATAAACGAGGAGAAAATTCCAGGGCATATGTCAATTTTACAAGTTCGTTGTATCTTATTTTTTATTACCTTTTCTTTGCGATTCTACTTTGTAAGGTCAGGGCAAAAGAGCCCGTATTTTTGAAGTGCAGGACTGGCAGTTTAATTGAAATTCGATGTAGATCTATGCAGCAGGTAAAACTCGTTACAAAGATGGGACAGTGATGGGAAAACAAAGGGATTTTATTCTGTTTCCAGAAAATATAGTAGACAAGTTTGCCAAAGGCTTCGCTTTCGTCTTGTTTTTTGCATTATATATAATTTTCTAGACCATAAAAAGTTGACACTCAAAAAGGAGAGAGCGGGGAATTTCCTCTGCTTTAGTCTCATAATGCTTAATTTTTCTTACCTCATGTTTACTTTGTGAATTTTCCAAAGTTATCTTGCTACGACACTCGTCTCTCCCTGGTGAGAAATAAATAATGTCTACTATATTTTCTGGAAACAGAATAAAATCTCTTTGTTTCCCTATCACTGTCCCATCTTTGTAACGAGTTTTACCACTGAGCTCCTAGTTTACAGTTAAGAAGTTATGAGTACAAAATCCGTTTAACTTCCTCACATTGCTACCGAATCTTCAACAAAGTCCCATTAGTTTACAAACAGGGTTTGGGAAAAGTGGCGAGTTCATAAGTTCACACTCATGTGCATCGAAGGTGTAATGAGGGACTGCTTTCATCTTCAATTGATAATCCTTGAAAAATGATTTATTATCATGCTTTTGAAGAAAATTGTCATATGTGTTCAAAATTTGCACACTTTTTCTGCAGTCAGTTTACGCCGTATCGACTTTTACAACTTTTTACCAAACTACTCATATTACAATACTTTTATCTCCTGGAGGAACTTGTTTGGGACTAATTGTTATGCTGTCACATCTGTAACAATAAAGCAAAGTGGATGCCGTGCTTGTTAATCCTAAATTCTTTCGCTTAAATAACCACATTTTTGAGTAGATTACAAATTTTTATCGGCATGAAAGGCAGTTAAATTTTTTTCCTGCCTTTCGTATGAAACTGCCGAGGGTTTTCAAATCCTCCCGATATTTTTTTTTATTCGCTTAAAAGTTCAAGTGACGTCTCTCTAGCCTGATGTTCTCACTAATGCTGTTTTTCAAAAGGCTTGTTTATCTTTTTTTTTCTTTATTTCAAAATCGAAATGTTTAGGCGATACGTCAATATTCGCCATCGATGATGGGAGAGAACAGTGACCAACTCTCTATTGCGACGGGGTTATGGATGAATACTCATACCTTATATTACAAAGCTGCTTCCACTCCACCATCTCCAGAAATGACTAGCGAGTCAACGTCTTCGAAACAGTTGAATTCGAAGAGTGACCGTAAAGAGCGACGTTCAAGAGTAGACGAACATCTATGGCTTGGTCTTTTTTTACTTTTCAGTTTTTGAAATGGGGTGGTCAGTATATCGTTTATCTTACATGTTATATAATTTATTCTATCCCTTTTTTCAAACAGAGAAAAAGCTTGTCTTTATCTGAGATTAAAAAATGGAGTAAAATTTCAGCAAATTTTTACTGAAAACTTTTTTTAGCAAAAAAAATAGTTTTTTCTTTTACGTGGTCACTTCGATTAACCAACTTTGACCAACTTATATTCAACTTATAGTTCTTTTTTTTTTTTCTAATCACTTTTCACCTTAATTTTAATGTTTAGAAGGACAAATCCCGAAATTTGATTGTCCGCTTGATCGTTATCTCACTGGGTCGTTGCCTGTAGAAATCGAAGATCCAAGCGTTCCATCGCTTGTCCTCCTCCGTGCCCTTTATGGTCTTAACAGGTTTTGGTGGTGTTTATTCGATGATGAAGACATACCTCCGAGCAGTCATGCACCACTGTTACCAAGCACGTGAGATTTCGACTTTTGAAGAATTTTTGTTCTAGCTGTTCGGAATCAGTACTTTCTGTCCTCATTTATCTTTAGAGCGTTCCATTCTTGTAAGTTGAATGCAAAGTTGGGGCGACAACTTTCGGATTTTTTGTCAGTGGCGACGCAGCAAGTGCCGAAATGGGCGTCAGATCTTGTTGAAGCAGTGTGCGTTTTCTATTCCTTTTTCTTTCCAAAATGGCATTAACTTGTGGTTTTATGAAATCCGTTTGTAGTCCGTTTATCTTCACTTTCGCCTCAAGAAGAAATCTTCTCTACTGCACCGCGTTTGGACGTGATCGTGCTTTAATGCATTTGGTGAACCAAGCTGACGGAGGTCATGCTGACGGAGAGAGCGGTCGTCTTACCCCTCGTCTTGAAAGGCGTAAAGTCTCGATTCGTCGCGAGGACCTTCTTCGGCAAGCTGAGCAAGCTTTAAATCGCTTGGGTAGCAGTAGGTAAGATTAGAAGACCACTTTCATTTTATTTCTTCACTTGCTTGGTCTACTTTCGACACTAATCTTATGCTTAGGGAACGAAGTTTCATTATGTTATTGCTTTATGTAGTTCTTTGCTTCAGGGCTATGTTGGAGGTTGGATTTGAAGGTGAAGCCGGTACAGGTTTCGGCCCCACACTTGAATTTTATTCTACTGTCTCACGAGAAATTCAGAAAGCATCTTTGAAACTCTGGAATGGAACTCCAGTAACTTTGCAGGATAGTGCTGGTGCGTTGCCTTCTAGTCTTTTGTTTGGTAGTTTTTGAAAGATTAGTAAAAACAGCGTGTTTTTTCGCAGAGTTTAGCATCACAGCTGCAACACTTGAGAAGAGTGTCGTTGTTTAGCGTAAAGCTCTTTTTCAATTAGTGCTTGCTGAAGGTCCTTACTGTTCAAGTTGGATTGCTAGTATTACAATAGCTTAGTTACTCAATTGTAATGCCGGCTTGTCTAATCTGAGTGTACAAGTCATTCTAAATAGTTAGCTCGATTATAACGTATTTAGCTATTATTTTTGCTGGTATTATTCTTTTATCTTGTGGTTAACAGATTTCTTTTTCACACTGCTCATTGATTACATTTTTTT